CCACCCAGCCTGGGCACCCGCCGCTTCTGGTGCTGCCGGGCTGCCCGCTGAAGAGCAGGGGGCGGGATACACCTGCCGGCAGCCTGGGCGGGGAGGAGCCCAGCCACGGGGGTGGGGGAGGGGGAGCGCGCGCTGCCCCTCCCTCCCGCCCTGGAGCTGCGCGGTGCGAGCCGCGGTCTGGCGGGCGGGTCCCGGGGCCGGGCACTAACGGCCCGCGAGACCCGCCCCAACCCCGTCAGGAGGGGAGCCTGAGATCGCCCCTCCCCCAGCGTCACCGACAGCAGCCTAAAAACAAAGCCCCCGCCCGGGCCGGAGCAAGCCGGGAGGCCCTGTCCCTGGGCGGGGGAGCTAGTTACCGAGCGGCAGGAGCTGAGACGGGTTGGTAGTCGCGTTGGCCGCCATATTGAAACTAGACCTAACCAATCGCAGCTATCGGAAGAGAGGGCTAAGGGGGGCGGCGGGTGAATAGCTCTCGGAACTGCCTCCGCTAGCAGCCCTAGCCAATGGATGGCAGAGTCATCGTGCGCTCGCTGTGGTGTAGCTGGGGTCCCCGGGCGCGGGCGGCTGCGACTCCGAGGTTCTGGCTGTAGGGGACCAGATGTCCCGATTTTATAGGGACAGTCCAGATATTTGGAGCTTTTTTTTTAATATGGGCTCCTATTACCCCCCCACACCCCATCCGATTTTTCACACTTGCTATCTGGTCACCCTATCTGGCTGTAGCAGGGCAGGTGCCACCAAGGCCTGATTTGCAGAGCTGCTGAGCACCCCTCCGCCACCACCTTCCAAATTCAATGGAAAACACAGGGGCTTTGACAATGAGCCTCCAAATTAGGGTTGGCTCCTGTCCAGGCTCTCTCAGGATAGTCCCTTTTTTGTGGCAGCTGCCTTGGGAAATCCGCAAAGGTGCTCGATATACTCTGCCACCAACTGTCCGGATTGATGGGCTCAGGGTCCTCCTGGATGGCCCAGGTTTTTGTACCTCACAGATGGCAACGCTACATCAAATACTCAGGCCTGGTCTACACTAGGAATTTCCATTGGTATAGTTACATCTCTCAATCCACACTCCAAGAGACGTATCTAAAACAATTTAACACCCCCCCCGCCCCAGTGTGGACAGCACTAGGTTGACGGAAGAATTCTAGCTACCACCTCTCAGGGAGCGGGTGTAGGCAAGGCCTAAGCAAAAATATCATTGTGGCTGCAACTCTGCACCCGCTAGCATCAGCACCATATTATAGCGGAGTGCCAGCTCTACTCTGAGTTTAGGTTGAGCATCACTTTCTGTTTAAAAGTTGACTCTACTAAGCGGTCTAAAATTCCAATTGCTTACTCAGATTGGCTTGAAATTTGGTTTGCCTCATGCAGTTCTCTGTAGTGTTACTGGTCCAAATTTGGGATCATTTGAGTATGGGGTTCCCAGCACTTGCGTCGCGAAACAGTTGTTTTGCGCGGCAAGTGCTGGCAGGGAGGGGCCGGGGCGGGGATTTGGGGAAGGAGTCCAATAGGGGCAGGGAGGGGGCTGAGTTGGGGCAGGGAATTTGGGGAAAGGGTTGGAATGGGGGCAGGGCAGGGGTGGGAAAGGGTGGAGTCAGGGTGGGGGGGGGAGTTGGCGCCTATGGTGCAGTCCCAGCTGCACTCCAGTCATAGGAATTACAATACCTACGGACAGATTTCACGATGCATAATAGAAAGGGGCCATGACAAGGACACATTGCAGTGTAAGGTAAAAGTGAAGGAGCTGCGGAACGCCTACCACAAGGCGCAGGAGGCAAACCATCGCTCCAGTGCTGCACCGACGAGCTGCTGGTTCTACAAAGAGCTGGACGCGATACTCGGTGGCGACCCTACCTCCACTGCGAAGGCCCCTGTGGATGCTTCATTGGCTCACGTGCCAGTCGAGAGTGGACCGAGCCAGGAGGAGGAAATCTTGGACGAAGAGGGGGAGGGGGACCCAGAGGCAGAGGATGACTCGGAGGCCAGAGATGCATGCAGCCATGAGCTCTTTTCTACCCCGGAGGAGCCTAGCCAGTCACAGCAGTCAGATCTTGGCAAAGTGCAAACAGGAGAGGAGGCCCCTGGTAAGTGGATCTGATTTTGGGAATTGCTGAAGCGAGTTGTTAGGGGCAGGAGGGTTGCAGAAAGCAGGCTTGTCTCCCACCGCATGCCTAGTCTGAGCGGTGGAACAGGCTGTCGTTAGCCTCCCTCACTTCACGGGGATCTCCCTCAGAGATCTCCAGGAAACCCTTGTGGAGATACTGGGCAATCCGCTGCTGCAGGTTCCTTGGCAGTGCCACTTTGTTTCTTGCCCCATTAACGGTAACTTTCCCACGCCATTGTGCCATCACAGTGGGTGGGGAGAACCATTGCTGCATACAGGTGAGCCGCACAGGGGCCAGGGCAGAAGCCGCAGGCTTGGAGAAGACCCTTCCTTGATTCCCTGATCACCCTCAGTGATGAGATATCTTCCATAATGATCACATCCTGTCGAAAGTGTGGGGACAGGAATGATTATCAGGTGCCCCCTAGAGCCACGTGCCCAGTGTACAGCAGGGAAGAGTGATTTACCCTGCCCCTGCGGCTGCTCACCATTTTAGGGGTGTTGTGGCTCATGTGTGCTTGCCTGGGGTCAGCCAATTAGTGACACGTGTGTGAGTACTGGCTGTGTTTTAAAGACTGAATCAGTGTTGTCTGTGTTGCAAACAATACTGCTTCTGTAAAATGTTGTGTTTAAACTTCACAGAGATGACCTTGGGAGCCCAGGCTCCCTCTTTGTTGTCAATGGCAGAATGGCTGCGCAGAATTAGAAAGCAGCCAAGAAGAACTAAGGAGGACCGTCTGCGTGATGTTATGATGCACTCCGCCACCAAGAAAAAGGAATTGAAGGAGTGGCGGGACAGTGAGAAGAGGGACCAAAAGGAGAATGCAGCACACCAGAAAGAAGCCACAGAGCGGCTCCTAAACGTTATGGAGCACCAAGAGGACACGCTCCAGGCGATACTAGCTCTTCAAACCGAGCAGTGCTGTGCCCGCCCTTCCCTGCAGCCGCTGTCACAAAACTCTTTCCCATGCACCCCCCACACACTGCCAACACACTGTTATCAACCTCCCGGCTCCACTCTACCCGCAGCATTCCACTGCTCCCGCCTCACAGTCCAGCACTGTGGACTCCCACTACACTCAACACCCAACCCTCTGCAGTTTGGCCCAGCTGAAGTACAGCACCCACTGCATTGTACTCCAAAGGAGAAGGTTGGGTATGATCCCTGGACATACACAAATCTGTAGCCGTCCCAGGACCCCTCCTCCTCTTGAGACCTTCCCTTCTCCCATCCCCCATCTCCCTGCCTGCTGATTACTTTTTTCATTTGACTCTCTCCTCCAGTTGTCTTTTAATAAAAGAATTGTGTTGGTTTGAAAGCAATCTTTATTCTATTAAGTGAAAGCAAAAAGAGCACTGCAAAGCAACATACAATTATGTTAAGCCCCTTCTTGCATCATGTGCACCAGTCACCTCCTAGCA